CCACTTGTTTTCTCTGTGTTTTAGAATTATTCCTTAATATCCTAGTTACAAAAACTTTAAGATTATTTTTGGTGCCTCATTTCCCTACCTATGTCCTTCTCACCACCATCCCCCAACCAGAGGTGGTATTCAGCAGTTTCTGACCAGTTCTGGAGAACCAGTAGTGGAAAATTTAAATAGTTTGGAGAACCGGCCAATCCCACCTCTGACTGGCTCCACCCCCATCTATTCTCTGCCTTCTGAATCCCAGCTGATTGGATGGGTCTTCTTTTGTTGCCCTGCACAGGACAACAGAGCTGGAAAGCAGGCTAGTGGGGTGGGGAGGGAATGGGATTTTGCAGTAACCTTCCCCTGCTGTGCCCATCAAGCCATGGCACACCCACCAAGATACCCATCAAGCTACTACAGAACCAGTAGTAAAAAAAATTTGAATTCCACCACTGCCCCCAACCCCCACACCAGCCAACAAATTATTCTAAATTATTCTAACTATTGCCAGCGTGGCGTCTTCCAACAATTATGCCTGCTGGATGTTGAGGTCTTTAGTCCAACACATGTGAAGGGAACCAGGCAGGGTCAATATATGCTAGTGCTATAATGTTATTTCAAAGAAGTCTATTTTATCTGTTCAATTGCAGTATCTGCAGAGACAATGCAGTACAATAATATCTATTTGCAAGCTGACACCATTAAATAATTTCTCGACTGTAATTTTGATTACAGAGCTGGTTTCCACCCATAGGAATCTGTGACTACACTGAGGACTTCCGGCTTGAGCTTCTTCGGCGATGGACCGAAATCCGCGATCATGTGCGGTTTCGATCCGTGCTCGCCGCTGGAGCGCCCCGAGCTGGCTGGATTCGGGGCTAAGCCATCCCGTAGAGGTGGTAAAGAGGGAGGAGACCGCCATCAGGGTCAAGGAGAGCCACGTCTCTCCTCCTCAGCTGGCCCTTTCCCGAAGGCGGTTGCAGTGGTGGTCAGAAATGGCCACCTCAAAGAAGCACTCGATCGGAAAAGAATGTGCAGGAGGAAGATAAGAAGAGAAAGTTTTGGTTGACTGGGTTAAACTGAAAAAGCAACAACATAAGGTACCCTGGAATTTGAACTATAAAAAATAACATTGTTCCCAAAGAAGACTTTGAAGCAGCAAAGGAGAGAGGGAAAGGAAAGGATTTGGCTTTTTTTTTCTTCCCTTCCTTATACTGACAGCTAAGAGATTTAAGTAAGAAATTGACAAAAATCCACTTTGACATCAATAGGCATTTAAGCTGAAAATAAAATGTCAAAGGGATAATAAAGACTTTTGGATACTCAAAAATCTTTAAAAGCAGGAAAGGAGAGAAAAGGAAAGAATAAAAGGGCAGGATCTGGAAAAATGGAGGAGACTGCCTGGAACTAAAAGGAACTTACAGTGAAACCTTAACAAGATTCCTAAAAGATACATTCTAACTGAAACTTTGTAACGAAATAATACCAATCCCAGGAAGAGAAAGTGGAAAAAAGAAGCAAGAAGAAACAGCTTTGGATTATTTGGATTACTTGGTGATTTTTGGATTTTTGGCTATTGGATTTAAATGACTAAAATCAATCCGGTGGTTGTTTAAAAGTGTTTAAAATGGTATCACTTTTAGAAGAACTGAAAATGGAACTTAAAAAACAGAAAGAAGATGCACAAGAAGGAATCTGTGACTACACTGAAAACATTTCATTACTTTTTAAAATCTGCGCTACATCCTAAATTTCTTTCTTTGAAATTCTGAATTGTTCTTAATTTTTTTTAAAGGCTGAGGTTTACTTTTTTGCTATAAGAGTCTTAATGTTCTTTTGTAGCCAGATCTTCTGTATGATGTCATGTCTCTGTGTAATTTCTTTTAACTTCCAGATTGTCTTTGAAACTTTCAATCTTTGCATTTTTATAACTTCTATGATATCATTCCTGACTATGTTTCTTTTCTTTTGTCCAATGATATAATTCTAAAGACGTCCCTGTTCCCTTTAATGGTAATGTACATTATTTGAAAATGTGATAAATCAACCTTACGGTCCTTAGCAATCAATCTGTATAGAAAATGTGTTATAATTCAATCCCATGCACACTATGACAAGCCTTCTCTAAATCAACACACAAACAATGCATCACCTTTCTTCCATTCAAATATTAACAATTTCTCTAAAAAACAAAATTTGGGTCTCTGCGCCTTCTGTCTGACATAATGCTGAGCAACATTTCTCAAATTTTGTTCATTATTATTTTGATATGTTTTCAATCAAAATAGTGCTGAATATATTTCTTGGCACACTTAACAAACAAATCTGTAGTTTTTATATTCATTATTTCTATAACTCCCTTATATCCAAAAAAATAATAGCATTTTCCAATAGTAAGGGATAGGTGCAGTCTTTGTACATGTACATTAAAGAAGTTGTACAGCACTTCATAGTTTACACCCTTATTTTCACATTTTCCAGTTATACCATCTATACCTATGAGTTTATATTCTCATAGCATGCAGTGCTTCCTTTTTATTATTTTTCTTGGATACTAGTTTTCACCCTTTAACGTATCGCCTTGTAGATAAAAAGTTTAAAATACATCCCATCATTTTCTCACTTTAGTTTCATCTCAAATCATTTCTTCACTTCTTTTTAATTCCATTCACTCTGCTGGACATTTTTTGGCTAGCCCTTTTTACTTATTTTCAAAATATATGAAGCTTTACCAAAACTGGTGCTATCAAAGTCAAGCTTTACATTATTTGCATTTATATGCAAGCCAGGATCTCTAATCCAGAGATTATCTTGGAGGCCTGTATTCTGTTCATTAGATCCTATCAACTTGGAAGTATATGCAGTGTTACTACCATACTTGCAATTTGGGGGTCCTCCTAGATGCATGACTCTTGCTCAAAGAGCAGGTAGCAGTCATGGCTAGGAGGGCCTTTGTACAGATTTGTCTGGTGTGCTAGATGCACCTGTTTCTGATTTGGCAGGCCCTATTTACAGTCACTTGTGCCTTGGTCATCTCCAGATTGGAGCATTGTAATGCACTCTGCATGGGGCTGCCCTTGAAGAATACTCAAAAGCTTCAACTGCTAGAGAATGCAATGGCCTAAGCAGTGATGTACTTTCCTAGGGCAGCATATGTTACACCTCTGCTCCATGAGCTGCATTGGTTGCCAATTTGCTTCTAGGTCCAATTCCAGGTGCTGTCTTTAGCATTTGAAGTCCTTCATGGCATGGGACCTGATTGTCTGAGGAACCTCTCCCTGGTTACATCAGCCTGCCTCACTAGATCCGGCAAAGTAAGCATGTGGTGTGTACCATTGGCCAGGGACCTTCATTTGATGGGACCCAGGAGACATGCCTTCTTTGTTGCAGACATTCTTCTTTCTAACATTAGACCAGTTCCATTCCTTTTTCTATTCCTAAAAGCCCTCAGGTCTTGAATATGTTGTCAGGCCTGGAGTTGGCAGACAACCGGAGACCTGCTCAGACGGTTCCATTGTTGAGATGGCCATTTATATCCTCTTTCCTACGCTTTGTATTTTCATTTTTATGATATTTATTAATAAGGTTTTTATATATTGTACATTTTTTGTTTTTATGTTTCATTTTTATTTATTTTTGTTTGCCACCCAGAGTTGTCTTTGATGAGATGGACAGCTACAAACATTTAACAAACAAATAAACAAACAAATAAATAAATGTTAATTGATAAATACTACTATGCTCGTCAAAGCAATCCTCAAATCCATCTTCTTTAGAAAGTTTGTGACTTAAGTTCTTAGTTCTTATGCTATGATCCAACTTGGTATGTAAGACCACTTCCTTTAAAGTGTTTGCATGATATCAGAATGTGTTCCAAATCTCAATGTTCCTACAACAATAGGATTATTATCTAAGACTTCTTTTTTCTTGTTCCATGCTGATTTGTTGGAAAACCAGAGCAAAACTCCTATTTTTTTATGCAACATTGCAGTTCTGCAGAACTCTAGAGGGTAATTGACTTTTCCGTGAGTGGGAATCTTCTTTCACTCTGCCTCCTGACCCTGAACTTCAGCTTCCTGATTCTGGAATCTATAGATATGATTTAATATCTCTCTCTCCCTGTCCCGTTTTTTTGCCATAGCAACATTCTACCATATCTATTGGCATTGCTGGCTACAAAAAAATGCTAACAAGTTATCCTTTCACTTTTGCAGCTTGCTAGAGGATTTTAAATTTAAGAAAAAAAATGAAACTGTGCGTCTGAAATTTTTCCCCTCATAACAACCACTCAGCTTTTAAAGCTTTTTGACAAATGATCAAACGTACATGACATGAGCTCAAAATGTGCATGCGGGCATTAAGAATTTTACATGCCTTTTAGATGAAATGAGATGATTTTTGTTACTTCAGGATTTGTGTTAGTTTAGAGGCCTGGCAGTGGTTGAATAACTTCTGTTGTATGTTTTTACCAGTCAGTTGAATGGGAGCACTATTTAGTTCATGATGTAACCTGTATATCCTTTAAGGTCAGACAGATAGAGAGCAGATCAGCTTTGAAATGTTTTGGAGGGTTAGGGACTTCTCACTGTGAGTTGTGTTGTGGGGGTGCACGAAGGGAGGGTCAGCCAATCTCATTGTACACACGTTGTACTTTGACAATAAAGGTAATAATAATGGAGGAACTGAGGAGTAGAAACAATAGTTTTTCTTATTTTCCTTGTGTCAAATGTTAGTTTATAAGGTCCTCAGAAGACAGAAACTGTCCTGAAATATTTTGTACATTGATAGTGTTACAGAAATAAGATTAGAGGTGACAACATTCAAATAGCACACCTCCTCTAACATTCATTCATGTATTATTCAGAAGCCTTGTACCAAAGCCTTTAACAAATGCTCTCATATTTATTTTATCATAATTTTCCATTTGGCTTACAATATGGGAATACTATGTACATGAGTGTAAACTCTTCCAAAAAAAGTCAATCTTGATGTTCCTTCTGTTGTTATTTTAGGAACACAGCTTTTTAGCAGCAGGAATGAATTTCGAATCAGCACCCTGACATTTCATCCTCTTGATCCAAATGTTTTTCTTTGTGGAGGATTCAGTCCAGAAGTTAAAGCCTGGGATATAAGGTCTTCTAAGGTAAAAATAAAATTGAAACAAAAATTATTTGTACTTGCTTTTGATAACAATCCTGGAAATAATAAATGTATGTGGGTGGCTAATGATATTATTTTGGAGAAGAAAATTGGCATTTTCTGTTGAAATAGTATGGGAACATGGTTTCTTTTCTATTAGTCTTGCACGATGATGTAAAAGCAAACAGCTAATGCATTGTGTCTAAAACAAAAAATGGATAAAGAAGAAAAAAGTAGGAGCATGTTTGATATGTCTATTTGGTATTTAATTTCCTTATCACTTACTGCTGTCCATATCTGATAGTTGTGATAGCTATTAAAAAGTAATTTTCACTGGTAGAAACTGATTTATTAGTAAGGCATCATTTGCTGAAATAAGCAGCAATTTGTGAGTTTTTGAAACTGTCTGCCAGG